CTTCCGCCAGCTCTATTAAGGGACACTTATGGAAGGGTGCGAGGATCCCTTGAACCGACTGTGGTAACCTCTGTAACCACAGTTGCTTGAGAAATGCTTCATCAATGTTGAAGTCAGCAATCAGCTGCTTCATCTGACGAAGCAGTTGCGTCGGCTTGCGATCACCCAGATGCACATCCCTGAAAAGTTCTTGCACTTTCTGCTGGTCAGTAAGTGCAACACGTTTGATGAGGGCGGTTTTGAGGCGATCGTAAAGATTCGGTGCTGGGTCATCTAGCACATCTGAGACGTCTTCGATCACATTTTCCGGTAAGCTGACGATGACTAAGTTGGACTTAGTTTCTTGTGATTGAATGTGTCTCAAGGCAAACTGAGCTTCCACATGGGAGAACCATGCAGATGGTCTGTGGGCCCAGAAGGTGGGAAGCTGGAGGGTTACGGCCATCTGCGCAGTCGAGTCGTTATCCGCCATTGATCAGGGAATTAACGAGGCACGATAGTGATAATAAAAAAAATTACAATGCAAAAATAACCAATGAGGAGTGCAATAATAATAAAAAAAACGCTAGACCGTGCCAAAAAAAAATAGGCCAGACAAATCAACGCAAGAGAACAAAGGTACTAGACAAAGTAAGAAGTGATACTCGGGCTCACCAATTTTGTAGGGATGCGTGTTACAATTCCGTAACGTTTGATCAACCCTACTTAATTTGATGTGCTCTAGTACCTGCTTAACCAGTACTTTACCTAACGTGTAAGTACTGATAACAAAACACAAATCAAAAGAACTGATACGCAATGTATTTAAAGGAGCTATGTATTTAAGGTAAATGTAATAATAATGAATGAGGGAAAAGTTTAATCAACTTATCTGGCTTGTAAGGCTGAACTAGGGACTCGGAGTACGTGCGTGGTGATCAGCACAATGGAGCGCAAAAATGGCGTCCAAGCCTGCTCGGATGCATGCTCGTTAAAACAAAACTTAAAACACCCTAAGCATCCGGAGGCAAGCTAGAGATTTATTTAGTTAATTTAATTTAAACTATTTATTTTAGCCCTAGTTATATTTTGGTGCCAGGAAGGTGCACTACAAATCAACAAATTCCCTGCAAACACTTATACAGAGCAAAGGACGAAACAACCAAAGAAGACAAACCGAATATCATTTACAAAATCAACTACAATAACTGTAGTCAACACTACATTGGACAAAGTGGTAGCCCTCTTCGCCTTCGTCTACATGAAAACCAATTGGCTATTAAACGTCACAATATTTCATCATTCATTTCAATGCATGTGGATAATTATGGACATGAATTCAATTTCGACAGTGTAGAAGTTTTGGACAGAGGAAACACAAAGAATATCAGAGAATTCCTAGAAGCTTGGGATTCAGGTCAGTCAATAATCAATAGATGTAAAGACACAAACTCAATCTACCAACCAATAAGGAAAATGACAAACGACAGAAAGATCAGACGTCAAGCAGAGGAACAGGCAACAAGAAGATCTAAACAGTCAATGACACAACAGTCAAAGGAAACAACTAATCATAAACCAGTTAGTTAGGGCAAGCTACTGAATCACTTAAGGAGAGATATTGACAGCTCACCTCATAGTGAAGTTGGTGCTGATGATGTCGTCTAGAAAGACGGTGAAAGCTTCACGATTAAACAACCCAGCTCCACCGCTCCTGTACCTTCAGTACCATTCATAGGGTGTTGATATGTCATGCAGTACCAGTTTGGTGTAGTTGCATCACCACTAAAGTGCGTAGCCTCTTAGGTACAGCATATTCCTTAGCCTCCTTACTTAGGTTCAAAAGGAATCCATTTATTATAAATATATTTGTTATGAGTGTTTACCCGCGAAGTTATTTAGTTTTGGTGATATTTCATGGGCAGTAATTTTGTTCGAAATGTTACCAAAACTCAATAACATCATTGTATGTAAATATTCAATAAAAATGTATTTATAATAAGTTGATTCTCTCCACAATGAACAAATTTTTCATAGATATAATTGACTTAAGAGTATCAGAGGTAGTGATTCCTAAAAGTAGTGTACATCCTACTTTATTGCAGGTTACCATTTCTCTAGGCCAGCGTTGTGAACCTAAAACAAGCTGACAGTTTTGAAGTAGATAGTTGAACACTGCAAAACTTTTTGGAGATTGGATATTCTTATTCATAATTTTTTATCGCTTTATATTTCACGCGAAAAATGTCTCTTCAAATGCTCAAAAACGTTACTGCAGCTAATAGAAAATTTCTAACCTCCATTTTAGATTGTATGGTTGCACGTCAAATGACTTATCAAAGTAAATACAAGAAGATGAGAGTTGTAGAGTGTACATTCTATGCTATCGTAGTTGATGGGTTGAATTACAATAAGTTTTAAGTGCTTCAATTTACTGCCTATATAGACATGGTTTTTAAAAGATAAAATAACTTAAGGAAGAGTGAATAGGTTGAAAATATGCTATGAGTGGGGAAGCAAGGTAAAACATTTTCTAAAAATGAGAGATACTCGGGACAAAACGGAACACACGACATTACAGACATAAGATACTATGGAAAGTGATTTCTGAATATGTAAAATTAACTTCTCAAGAGAAAAGATAAGCGTAAATGGGAGTGGGAAGCCCAAAAGATCCTGAATATGATGTTATATATAACCAACCCTCCATTTATCAGTCAGCACAGCTCTCTCGTATCCCACCTTTTACATGTAGACTACACTTGTATTCTATGACTTGCAGCCTTCATTAAGCACTAATTAGTGTCAATATTTGCAAAATATAGAATTCGTGTATTCAGAGGTAGACCTGTCTAACTACACGTTAATCAAACGGTTAATTGCACTTTGTGTCTTTTGATCATCTTGACCAAAGGTGAATTACAAGAGACGAGTAAAAACTATTTTGCATGTAAAGATACTTATCATGTATCCATCAGTTTCCTAGTTCTCTTACAACTTTCAGATCAACAGTTGTCAGTAATGTAAGTGTTCATATACTTCATCCCTTTTCAGTCGTTTCACTTCATTTGTCTTTGGATAATTCGAACACCTGTTTCTTGATGTTTATGTGAATTTTAAGAAGTTTGAAGGTGTTATATTTAAAACTAACCCTAAATACTTTGTTTTGGAGTCCGTAACGATCCACAATTATTATTTTATTATTATTAGTCCCTTGGGTTCCTAATGGAACATAGGGCTTTAGTAGCACTTCTCCAGTGACCTCTGTTATCTGAGATCTTTTGAACCTGGTTCCACGATAGCCCAGAAGCTCTCATTTCCTCCTCGCACGATCTCCCCCATGTCACCCTCAGACGTCCAACTCGTCGCTTCCCATGGGGATTCCACTCGAGGGCCTGACGCGTGATGTCCCCAGTCGGCCTTCTCAGTGCATGGCCAATCCATCTCCATTTCCTCCTGCATATTTGTTGTGTGATAGGTTCTTGATTGGTTCGTTCCTAGAGCTCCTTGTTGCTTATTATTTCTGGCCATCTGATCTTTAGTAGCGAGCGTAAGCAGTTGTTGATGAATGTCTGTAGTTTATTGGAAATCCCTTTCGTAACGCGCCAAGTCTCTGAGCCATACAGAAGCACTGACTTGACGTTGGTGTTGAAAATCCGGATCTTGTTAACGATCCACAATGCTACTGTAAATTTCACAATCAGGTTGTCACGTTCTTCTTATTTGTCATTGAAGTCCTACTGAAGTTTTACTTGTTGTACAATAATTATTCCTCCTTATTAACGGTGAACTGAGTCATTAAAAAATAATTCACTCTAACTTCATAGCTATTTAAACGAATATCATCATTGTACTTTGATTTAGCTTAAATTAACATTTCTAGTCATTTACGATGTGACTTGTGTTGAAAACTGTACTCTTTAAGTTTTTTTATCTGCAGCTTTAATCTTCGTTTAAATTACTTTATAACCATCATTCTTGATAAAAACTTCGGGTAATTTTCAACTAAGCAATGAAGTTACAGTCAGTATTTTGCACATCAATTGACGGTATAAGACAAGACGATTGTGTAGCAAAATAGTATGAATAGGCAAAATATGCATTCAGAACACAGAAAGTACATATTCTCTTACAGAAAGTGATGATATATAACGAGCACTATAACACTTGGGGATGGCGTTTACCCTCACTTTGTAATCATAACACAGTTTAATTTAAAAGTTGCAAAAATTCAAATCTATCTTAAAAAGTACAGATAACATTAATTCTGAGTTAAAATCAAGTAAAGAAATACTGGTAGTAGAAAATACCAATAGTAAGCATGTTGTAGAGTGCAGATATAACTGAGAACTTCATTGCAAAAAGTAAATGAAGAAATATGTTTCTTTGTAAATGACAAATGTGATGTGATATGAAGGATGGTTTGATTAACTAACAAAACAAACTGAACACAGTGAAAATTGAGCTGATTAAAACTGATATATAATTGTGTGTTACATGTTGTTACTAGAAATAAGAGCTGGAAGAATAAATTGTCGGTGAAAATCAAAGTAATGGTTTCAGTAGTAACGCGTCACGAATTAACATGGTAGTCGAGCAAAATCCTTGGTGATTGAAGTGAAATAAAAATCTAGTCAGCAGTCGGACCTGGTATCTCAGTTGGTAGAACATTGGACTAGAAACCCGATGGTTGCTGGTTGGAATCTGGCTACAGTCTAAGTTTTTATTTCATCTTAATTCATTACCTAGTTTAAAATGGAATCATTCACCAATTCTTAAGAACTATGTAAAAAAAACTTTTCACTGTTTTTATGTGTTATCTTTTTCAAAAAGAGTATACCCGAGGTAAATTTTAAAACAAAACCAATCATCGTTTCTCTGATATGTTTAGATAAAGCACTCTGCATTCCTGAATCTTAGAAACACTTCAATGCTATTCGCTAATAATGATATCATAACTGTATGCGGATACTGACTTGTAACTGGCTATATATATACGCACACACGCACAGGAAATAGGTAAGCATAAATTACCTTAAAAGGAATGCAACTAATTACTGGACCTTGATGAAAATTGATTATTATCATCATTTTTGTGAATATTTTTGTTCTGTATATTCTTTCTTTATTGTGTACTGAATACTCTTTGTAGTGTTACTAACTACTTTTAAAGGACGTGATGATTACAATATTTTCCTATTCATTTTCCTTATGTTCAACTGTACATCAGTAATAGGTAGCAATAATAATGTCACTATTACTGCCTCATGTCCAAATGTGTGCCTATTCTTCGTATGCTACCTATTCTACACACTCTATGTTCAGGTATGTTTAAGAACGTGATTGGTTGAAAGTCACGTGAATGGGATAAACTGTGAACATGCAGATACGTGCGGAGGCACATCAAAAATCAATCAATATAACTTATATACAAATAGATTTTCAGACGTTTATGTTTGTACACGAATAAATATGGGTAGGATATATTTGATTTCGTATTCGATTGGAGAGGTGTTCCCGAAAATGATATCAATTTTATCATCGGTTTATGTATAATATGGAATAACAAGTCGAACCATTTGAAAGATTACCAATTCCTGAAATATTACCTATTATTGTTTTTTTAATAAACCAATGTGTTATAAAGAAATAACATCATTTGGAGCTGGTTCATCCGAATATTGAACAATTATCTATTTTGTTAAACGATAATTAGAAAATGCAAAGATTATATTCCAAACCAGTTGCAAACGTTAATACAATAAATATATCTGTCATCGGTATGAATGGTTCCGGGAAATCAGGTAAGATACTTTTCATGAAGTATGCGAGCGATGCATTTCTTTGCAACAAAATTTGTTTTATTTTACCGGTATTTGCAAAAGTTTACTAATCAGAGTATGATTGACTTTCATGAATATCGAATCAGGTGATCATTCCGACTATCACCTTTCAGCTACTGTTATGTTGACTACAGCCTTAATGTCTTGGAATTGAGAAATGAATACATTAAGCTTGAAATATGTGAGGAATGCTGCTATACTAATTACTTTATGTCTTATAAAGACTATTCAGTATGCTCTTGAGTTATTCTTCAGATTGTTTACCGTCGTTTACAAATACTTTTTTTCTTGAATAATCATAGGGAAAGAGTAATGACAGATTTGAAATGCGATACTTACATGGTCCTTAACATTCATTCAACTGGTGGTGAAAATTGGTTGTCAATTGAATTCACAAAACGTATTTTCTCCCATAGCTTTATTATTTCCATTGAGATTCGTATCAAATTTCATCAACTAGAACACCGAAACGCTCTTCACTATGTCATGCTGAAACTTAAAATTATAACTGATAATCTCCCACTATTAATTTATTTAAAACGAATCTACGAATCCCTGTCAACTCTTAGGATCTTTATATGGATACCTCGATAGAGTTATTAGTCTCATTTTCGATATTGATTTACTTTAACTTTTGTGACCAAATGACTTTCTCAGAGTAATTTAGATCAGTAGGTTCGTAGACATTATTTGTAGATGGTGAAATACAGAAGTGAAGTTAGAAAACTAGTAGGATATATATTACTTAATGAAATTTGAATACTAAGAAACTACTTAGGCTGATCCATAGATTTCTCACCATAAATTAGAGTCATCTAAACACCAGGTGGCCATCTCAGTAGTTTTGTACAGAGCTAATGAGGGATGTCTCGTACCCTGAAAAATTCAGCTAGCACAACTGAATTGTTCAGATAATCTGAATTTGATCAGCTAGCTACTTTAAATAGCGTGATCGATTTGCAAATGAATTACAGATTGTATGATTCACGATGAACTTTGTGACAGCCAAGTAGTTTTTCACCCGCCCAGATGTGGCGCTAACGGAATTTTTATTGGAAACTATCCAGGTAAGATCATGAGGTCTAATCTCCGACACAAAATGTCATGAACTGTCAAACTGTACTGTCGAACAACTTGGGTAGTTAGAAACCAGTCAGGCCAATCTGTAGATTTTATCAGCCAGGTCAAAAATATGTATATGTATACGCATGTGTTAGATCAAATTTTATGTTGGAGAGTGTTGTAAAGCCTCGTTATTTTCAAAACGTTTAATCCAGAAGGAAAACAAAACCACCCATGTCTACGCCTTATTTTGAAATTCACCACGCTTGTCCAAAGATCCGAAATGGAATCAACAGATATCCTGGATGGTTCAGATGGTCCTTCTGGAAAACCCCTAAGTAAACACGCATTTATTTCCATTCATCGTCAAAAGAGTTATCAGTGATCTCATAAAGGCTGTTTCTCTGGTTCTCTCTAATTCATAGATTGTCAGTGCATGATTCAAGACAGCAGAGTTTCAGTGTCACCGTTGATTCTTAAATTTCTGACTGTTCTGTAGTAGTTTCCATTCCGGTCAAACAAAACGAAATAGTGACATTCACCAAAATAAAAAAAGTAAATAAAAAAAATTTGATTGATTAAACTGCAGTTATTTTACATCTGATAATAGTGAACGATGTGGCTGAACATGCTGACGACTTCAATTATATTCGAAGTCAACTTAGTGTTGACTGATATAAAAGCTGATACAGAAGATCAAGTGTTTTAAATGACTAGTCACTTGTGACCCTGACGTGATACTGGAATGTTTTTCTAATACTTGTGAATATTGTACAGCACGTAGAAAACCTGAATATTCTTTAGGTACATTACCACCAGTGATTTTGTGGAGGGACATCTGAGTGAATAATAATAAATATGCGAAGCAGTAATAACGCGATGCTATACTCGAACTTGATGCGAATAACTACTGTTTTCTCTCGGACCTGATAATTCGCTGAGCCACGAAAATCAGAATACAAAGGCTGGTCTGTGACTGTAAGGAAGAAGACTTTATTTTACAAAAACAAATCCTTTATATACAGTTTCTTGTCAGAAAATGAAGCCACCAGATCACAAGCTGGATATTCATTTTCACTGGTCAGCTAAGGGACAAAATTGTCTAAAAGGTTTTTCCGCCCATATATTAACTTGAAACCAAGGTAGTAATCAAAATTTTCTACCTAGGCGGCTAATGACTTTGAATGATAACTTTGATTTAGGCTGCTTTCAATGTCCTCCCCCAGTAAAAGGTGTATAACTTCCTTTTTGGATTCAGTTTACGAGAGTTTTAGTTTTCTTATTTAATGAACTCACCTTCTAGCACAAAATGGACTCTCGTTTTTCCGAGTCCTGTTCTTATACATGCGGTATATCAAAAGTGTTCAACAAAATTTCAAGTACTAAAATTTGCTTTCTGTTGTCTGATATCTCTTGTGATGGTCATACTTAGTTTGAATGGCTTATCTATGTTTGTCCTTCTGTCTTTAATCGGTACGAAAAGATTTCTTGACGTCCAATCACTTTCCCATGTGCCTACCTGGTGGTGGATGAAGAAAATCATGTACATAGACTTGCTGGTGGTGATTAAACTGATTTTCCATTTTTGTATTTCTTTTTCGTCTGTTTTATTTGGTGAGTCCTGATGAAATCAAGGACAGTTTTAACTTTTCGACAAAATATAATTTCTGCAGAAGGTAACTGACTAAGTGTCGAAAGATTTGGTGTCGTGCGGTAAAGCAGCAAAAAATTATTCGATGTTTCCTCCATTGTCTATTGTCCCTTTGCTCTTAATACATCGTCTGGGACACACATTAATACATGTTTCAGAAGCAGACGTTTTAGCAGAGACTTATCAGATATGTAGAAGGAAACCATATCATGCTAGGATGAAACCTTATGAGGACATTTTGAATTCAAGGGAACATTCAAGATATGCAGTCAAAACCAAGCAGGTCTAAATCATGAGGACTCGGAAGATGACATACACCAAGGAATTTACGTTCTCCAAACTGGACGTTTCATTTAATTTCACCAGAGAGTTTTGGTACATCTCTCAAAGTATTTCAAGCAGTGTATTTAATTTGCTGAATCTGTGGACACCTAAGTGTATGCCATATGCTGGGAGAAATCGAGGTTTTGTCAGAAGTCGTATCAGGTTGCAGAAGAGTAGGTGTACTACTAACGGATGGATTAACATATTCTTTTGTTGCTAAAATCTACTTTGAACATTCCGAAAAAGCTTTAACCTTGACTGGATCAGTTACTTTTGAAAAAGACATGTTTAGTCCTCATTGGATCATTGTTCTTTGGTTACAAACTCTGCTTACTTCAAGTGACTCAGACTAGTGAGTCTTGTTGATCAGCTATCTACCTGATCTTTTAGTGTTAAGTTGGTAAAATATTCATATGTAGCACTACTCCCTCGAACCTTTGACATTCAAAAAGTGTTTAAAATGTGGTTTAGGTAATTGCGATCCAGGGGCAAGCTTGATGCATTGTTTCAGACTAGAAAAGATGGCTGAAAGTTTGATAGTAATGGTATAGATCCCTACATTTCATATCTCCATCTAAACTACCTATTCTAAACTATGTTGCATTAGAGAATCCTTTTCATTATTCGAAAGGCAGACAAACAATCTGCTGCCAACCATTTTAGTGAATTTTAGAACGTGGATATCGTAGAGAGCACACTAGCACACGTTAGCAGTTATTGAATGAATATGGAGGCTACAGGGTAATAGAAATCCACACCATCTAATTCACAAACCTTTTGATAGTGTGTGATTCTATTAAGCAGGATATACTTGATATGTTGAGTAAGAACGCAGTTTTTCTTTCATACTTTTGGAAAAATTTAGTATTAGAATGCAAGGTAACCATTCAACCAACAGAAAAAAGCCAAGATAAGGCTGATTTCTGTGCTGCACTTTAATTTTGCTGAAAATTTCAAATTTCGTTTGGCACATGAGTTGAAAAGTGAGATGAAAGTATGGTAGGTAAAAAAGACTCCAGATATTCCAAATTTAAAGACTCATTGCTAAGCACTATGAACCAAGTCCTCAAATCGACTTACTTAGCTTCCAAATTACTAACATAATTCTACTACATTAACCCGGTATTAAAGACTTAGTAGTATGACACTGTATGCAAATGTGAAACTGATCGGAAAAGATTACTTTGTTAGATTTTACTAATAATCTAAAATAAATTGCAATGGAGTGTAAAACAATACCAGTGATAAGACGGATACGTAATTCAGAATCCAAGAATAACCAGACCCTAGAACAAATAAATTTTCACATAATCTTGCAGTGCTAAGTAATTCAACTCGGTCAATTTGGAATGGTAATAAATGCTTAAAACTTCAGTAAATTAGGTGACTAGGTCTGCATCACCTAAATTATGAAAAATATTTATGTGAACTTTTGAACATAGTCTAGTTTTAGTTGTTTCGTCATGACTAACTTTTCTGAATGTTAAGGATAGGGTGGACAGGAATGAACAGTGAGGTGGAATTACACACAAAGTGGAACTATTCAAGCTGTTTTAGTTCACATCAGTACAGATAAAACGTGAAGAAGGATTATATCAGAGGAAAGAGAAAAGGTGAACTGGGAGCAATACCATTTTCCGAATTTCCAAAAAGGTTGAGTTTGGTTAACTATTGATAAAAGAATCATTAACTGTAGTCCAACTGGCTTTTCTGGATTCACTAGTATAGTTCAACAACTAAGTTAACTGATGCCATACTGATGCTATGCTGTATTTGTTGTCAAAAGTTTGAAGACAGTCTTTATTGGGCTCTTTCCTTAGGTGCTTGTAGTCACTTGTAAACAAGAAAAGGTATGTCATGTTTGATATCGCAGCTCAAATTGTTAAGCATTTCAGTCGAAAGAGAATTCACTGGGGACTGATTATTTTTAAGACTAGATTTTGCCAAAGATTTCTTCTTTGGTTGTGATAACTCTCATATCCTCACAAGAAGCCTGTATATGTTATAACAGGATATGGGAAAGAACACAGCAATTTTATACGATATTATAAGCAGGAAGATAACGCCATAAATTACATGCTTTTCCGAGGTATTTGTTTGCTTAGAGGTGTGAAGAACTAATGTTGCTCACCAGGCCACCAAAGAGTGATTGTTTGGTTAGGATGAAGAAGCAAATATTGGACACAGATGTTATACTTCACATTTTGTGTAAATCATAATGAGGGCTGAAAGAAAATTGTAAATTTATGTAGCTGAATATAAAAGTAACTCGATTAATTTTTAATTATTTACATTTGGTTTTCAAATTTTTTATTTTGAATGATGGAGAAAATGGATCATCTTGAAATGAATTGAAAACTACTGGTTAGTATATCAGTAGCAAACAATAACTATAAGAATTTTAAAAACAAGATATTTAGCAAAGATGATCCTTGTATATATATATAGTAGATGGTGAAATCACTCTTTATCTGCCCACCCGTCCTTCATGTACTGAAACAAAGTGTGTTACGTTGAGTCGATGCACTATGTGTGAAGTTCTATGTTGATTTGTCATTTATGAGTCAGCATTGCGGTGAGTGACGTTATTCCCATGAAGTCTGGATCCCAACACCACTGACTCTAAACTCTACAGCTTTATCTACTAGACGACTGAGTCACAATATTTCCTTTTTTTCTACATGTATAGTGTAGTTTTGATGTTATAGCTTGTAATTTACTGTCAGTATTAATGCTTGAAATAAGCTCATTGCAAACAAGTAAGTTTTCACGTCTACAGCAGATGGGGATAAGTTGAAATCGAATAAAGATTAACGTTTTGCAATTGAAGTGAAGGTTGATGCGTTGCTTTTTACAAGTTGCAAAGTAAAACAAGCAATCGCAAGTAAACGATTTGGCTGAGAAATACACTTTATTATAAACCAAATTTGAAGAGACCTATTTACATGCTCAATTTCTCGTAATTTTGTTAAGCTTTAGAAATATTTGAGGAAACTTTATTAACCTTTGTGTAACTGGTCATGTCACCTTAACACTGACTTAACTTATCTTCTTATTTATTGAATATTTGATCATTTCTGAAACTGAAAATATATGAAATCACGATATTAACTGGTGGTATTACCAGAAGTTAGCAATTAAGGTGAATAAACAACTTTGACACAGCTGCTTGATTTAGTATTAAAATGAACTGATATTGGTTTTAGAGTCATTTGCCTACTCATTTAAATGATGCCAGTTGTCCTACTTAGGCTCAATAAGTTTGTAAGTAATATTGATGTTGCAAGGAAACTTCGATTGCCATAGACAAACTGATGGTAACCGAATAACTCCACATGTTGTCAACACATGAGAAACTCAGTGTTATTTCTAGATTCTTATCATTCTAAGTTAAATACTCGTTAACATTGTTGGCTTCTGCGTTCATTACGTTCAACCTTTGTGTTTACTGTTGCCATCATTAGGCCTGAGTGTCTTAAGTAAGTCCTGGATTACGTAGTTATATTCATTTTCTCAATCTCTTGTTCATTTTCCTTCTCTAAACCTCCATTTCGATTACCTAGCTTCCGTTCGTCATTCAGCTCCTGACCGGAAATAATTCTAGAGTGTCATATTTGTACTCACGAATGTACAGATTAGTGGCTGATTTCGTCAAAAAACAACTTTTTTTTGCCGCAACCAACTTTTTTCATCGTTTCTTATTGCATTTCTTTCACGGGTTATCTATAGCATCAAATTGGACAGAGCTAGGTGTTGCTATCACCGGATGTTTGTTAATAGTATTCAGACAGAAAAAATGATTCGAAGTAGGGGATTTACTAAAAACTTGTTTCCCATCGATAGGCAAAGAAATTTATAAAACTGTATGAGATTCTAATACAGGCAGGTTAAGGGATGTAGACAAAACACTGATTTAAAATGAATGCGCAAAATAAACAATGGGGACAAACGACTACTTATTCCACTAAAAACAAGTTCGTTCGATAAAAGTTTCCTTTTTCATATATAAATCAGGTAGAAATCAGTCAGCCGTGGTATACAAATACTCTGCTGATAAGTAAAACAGACATTTCGTTAGTAAAGGTTTATGTGAGTTAGCTGGGAAATGTGATAATAATAATTATCGTTAACTATTGGTAACCTTGAATATAACTCATCTCATCTAAATATTTCAAAGCCTTCACTGATATCGGTTTTTAGTGTGCACAAAGGATCCCTCTGACTTGAAAAAAAAGTATAGAAAACGTATTTCGTGCAACCAGACAAGCATAACATTTTGTAAGACAGATTTAAAATTATAGTGCAACTGAATAGGAATTCTTTCTCAGTAAAACGATATTAGTTGCATGTAAGTGTCTTACGGAGCCACTGTTTAGAATTTTCTACTAACCATGTTTTTTATCAACTCTCGGTGGTGACTGAAGGTAAAATGAGAATATGCATTATGACAGGAATCATCTAGTATCATTGACAGCAGTCTGCCAAATTTATATTGAGTCAGGTAATCTCGTTTAATTTGTTATTGTTATCGCACTTGTTATTTCTGTTTTATTTCTTCTTACAGCTGTTGTCGTGAAATATTTAACACGTCGTTTCATCGTTGAATATGCACCTTATCTAAGTAAGTGTAATTTCTTTCAATTACTTCGGATAATAAAAATTCTCACTAAAGTGAGCATGCTTTACAAAAATACGTATATCATATCATCTATGTTAGAAATGGGGTTATTCACACCATATATTTATATGTGTAGAGTAGGATATTTAGCTTCTAGAAATATAGTACTTGATGTACAGTTATCTAAATCGTTATATTAGGGGCTCAGATTAGTGTGTAAAGAATAAACAGTAGTCAAATACTTTGTATTTAGTTCACTGGTACTGGGGAAACTGTGATAAATAAATATTTTTCAAGCCGTTTATGCGGTTTACCTCGTGATGAGTCAGTTTTATTTTGAGCTTCTCAAGAAAAACTGGGCTTGTGTATACTGTTGCTTTAAATTTAACAAGCCATATAGACGTATAGTAGTGATGGATAGTAGCTAGCAATGGAATGTAGGATGCGCATTTCGTCCTACTTGGGACTCGTCAGCTGGATGTACTATTACTATATAATTAAAAACACAGGGAATATTGAGGCATCTATGCAGGAGCCAATGCGCCAACAGAGACTGGTCAATTCGGTCCAACCGACGATGGTATAATACAAGCAATAATACATTTGGAAGTTTGTTTTCCTAAGCTTTTTATTTGAGAGCATGAGATATTTGGTTTTTGCTATTCTGAGTTGATCAATACAGTCGAGTAGTGATCTCATGTCCAACGCTAGACGTTAGCTATCCTTGAGCAAAAAGCTTAAAAAGATAAAAACATCACTGAACAAAATCAATTTCCGTTACTTTTGTTAACTTCATTTTATTTTGTTCCTAACGAAGAAGGAATGCATAAATTTTTTCCAATGAGTTCTTACTGAGTTATACCACAGGAAAACTGGGAATGAATGCAAGAATTCTTCGAATGCGTTTGATAGTGAATAGAGAAAACACCGAAAATTGTAGATGTGCTTTATTTCACTTCTAAGATATCTCAAGCTTAAGACCAAGTTGGCTTCTGATTTCTCCCTGTTTAAAAAAATGTTCACTAAGTTGTATAACACTTGTCCGAAGAATTTATCTTTTGCACCTAACTATAATTTAGAATTTGAAATAACCACTCCAACGCTACCATTGTCTATTTTGCTTTTATTTCCCGTTAATCAGAAAATTATTAGACTTGTTATATGATTAGATAAGTGAAATAACGCACCCATGCAAATGCATTTCAGAACAATTATAAGCTCAAAATTTACTTTTCTGTAAAAAATTTAACGGTTAATCATCTTAAGTACAGTGATTTGAAAAAAAAGTGTTGTTTGAAAAGAGTTTGTGTTATTCGCTTAAATTTTGAGAAGGTATAGGGAAGGACAAGCATAATTATACAATTTAAACTACCCGAAGTATGCAAATGATAGGGACATATAATCAGTCGATAAATACGATGGCTTCCATTAATATCTAGCGAAATAAGTAGAGAGTAGTGACAAGTTAAAAAACTTATAAAACAATATTGTTTTCAGTTAGATCTCCCCAAGCTTCACTCTAATTCACACATATTTCAACTTATAGATAAAGTATAAATCAACCAAAGTAATTTGTAAGTAAAACGACAGATGTTTGAGAAAACAAGTTTCCAGACTGTTTGTCCTTTTGTAGCTCATTAATTTTCTGTACATAGTCATTAGACTTGGGGGCTTAGAGATAAAACCTGAAATTGGTTGGTTCATATCTTATACACGTGTTGAGAGCTATGTATATCACATATATGATGACGTCATCATTCATTGTTCGGTTTTAAGTTTATGCATTTACTTGTCGAATATAACCTCATGAAGTTTTATGAGTGAAGCCAGCAAATGATTTATGCAGCTAAAACCCTCTGTCCGTTGTGAATTTCATATTTTTCACCGCAATATTGTCGTAAAATCGAACAATCGGTCTTTTAGCCACAAGGTGAATCTTCACTAACTTAAGGGAAATAACGGTCTCAGTTTAAATAATCATGTACTGTCTTTCATGGTAAAGATATTTGTTTCTACTTCTATTGGATGACGATGTCCTCAGTTGAATTCGAAAGACTTGACGAGTGGTGATGGCGGGGTTTAACTGACTAATATTACTATATTTATCATTATTTATTTCTCCCTTGGGTTCCTGATGGAACATAAGGCTTCAGTAGCACGTCTCAAGTGAATTCTCTTCTCTGAAATCTTTTCAACCTGGCTTCATGAAAACCCGCAAGCTCTCATTTCCCCCTCGCACTATCTCCTCCATGTCACTCTCACCTCGGACGCCCAACTCGTCACTTCTCATCGGGGATCCACTCGAGGGCTTGGCATGACACATGATGTCCCCAGTCGGCCTTCTTTGTGTATGCCCGATTCATCTCCACTTTCTTCTGCAAATTTGTTCAGCGATGGGTTCTTGGTTGGTTCGTTCCCAGAGTTCCTTGTTGCTTATTCTTTCTGGCCTGATCTTCGGTAACGAGCCAGCGTAGGTAGTTGTTGATGAATAACTGTAGTTTGTTGGAAATGCCTTTCGTAACACGCCAAGTCTCTGAACCATACAGAAGCAGTGACTTGACGTTGGTGTTGAAAATCCGGATCTTCTTCCACATGCTGAGTGCAGAGGATTTCCACATTGGTTTCAGGCTAATGAACGCCTCTCTTGCTCTTCCGACCCTGACTTTGACATCCTCGTCTGTGCAGCCTGTAGTTGAAACAGTGCTGCCTAGATAGGTAAAGTAGATTACTTTCTTTGAGTTTCTCCCGATGATGGTGATTGGAGTTTGTTGTTGTTGTTGGTGCGGTATCTTCATCACCTCTACCTCTGTCTTCTCTATATTCACTTGAAGTCCCGTCTTCCTTTGCTGTCTCTTCTGACAACTTGTAAGTTTTCGATTGTAGATCGTCGAGTTTGTGTGACATTATACGTAGGTCATTGTCGGCGAAATTCAAATTTTCTAGGCTCTTTCCGTCGGTCCAGCATATCTCCCTCTTCTCGCTTCCCACTGTTTGCTGCATGGTCCAGTCCAGTCCACCACAATCAGGAATATCATGGGAGATAGTAGGCAACCTTGTTTCACTCCTGTCTTCAGTTCACTTCAAAAGCATCCCTGAGCTTCCCATTGTGAATTACTTGGCTGGCATGTGGCGTCCTCATATACTTGTTGAATGAGATTGATAAAGGTTTGCGGTATTCCGTAGTATTGTAGCAGTTTCCAAATTACCTCTCGGTTGACGCTGTCAAAGGCCTTCTCAAAGTCGATAAAGGTGAGGTAGAGTTGAGTTGACTGCCATTCTATACTCTGTTCTATGGTGATCCTTGGCGAAACGTTGCAATTTGGTCCACACATGATTTTACTTCATAAAGCCTGCCTGTTTCAGTCGTAGTTTCGAATCCAGTGCATCCTTTAGTCCCTCCAGGATGATGTGGCTTAATATTCTGCTTGCTCTAAGTGGACAGGGACAGGACTGTGATTCCGCACCAGTTCTTGCAAACACTGAGGTCTCCCTTCTTCGGCAGTTTGACAAGGTAGCCCTTCTTCCAATCAGTGAGCAGGTACCTTCCCTTCCTTTCAGACCTTCTGCAGTAGTGGTGTGAGCATGTCCGCTGTTGTCTCTGTGTCTACTCTCCGTGCTTCTGGCAGGATCCCATCTGGTCCTGCTGCTTTCCCGCATCTCAGTAGCTCTATGGCGTTCAGGACTTCCACTTTTGTTGGAGGATTTGTGTTCACTTATAGTTCTGTGTCTGGGCTGCAGGTGGTATTTCTGGATGAAGTGCAGGTGGTGGTGGTGGTCGATTCAATAGCTTCTTGAAGTGGTCAGCCCATCGTTTCCTTTGTTTCTCTTCTTTAGTAATTAAATTTCCTTCATCATCTCTTATTGATTTCATGTATGTTGATCTCTTCCCTTCCATATAGTCACCTGGTTATTTGATACGTTGTCAGGTCTCTGTCGCTCCTACCAGCAGGCTGTTTCGCTTCACTTACCAGTGTTTCATAGAAGTGTCATTTGTCTTTCCGTGCACTCTTTTTCATTTCTTTGTCCAGTGTTTTATAGATTCTACTCAGTTCCTCTTCTCGTTGTGCATCCTTGCACTGGTTTATCTTCTGATTCACTATCCTCCTCCATCAGCTTCTGTGTGTTCATCGAGATCCATTCCTTGTCTTCTTTCTTCTTCCTTCCTAATACGGCTGAGCAGGTTTCTCTCGACATCTCTTTTAAAGACTTCCAGTGTTCATCCACACTGGTTTCTTCAGGGATGTTCCTCGATGTCTCCCATTTAACGTAATACAATTTACAAAAAATAAGCCGCTTTTCTATGTATTTTGATAGTGAATAAAGTTGAGGTGTGTAACTATTATGCTAGTGTGGGTCAGACCAAGGAGTTGCGCTATTGAGAAGTAAGTGAAATGTAAGATAACTGGTTCTTCACCAACCACCATACTGACCTATAATTGGAGCCGAGAGATAAGTGATTATATATCGAAGATTTTGTTAGACAACTTGAATCTATTGATTTCCTGATTTTGAAATATCTTATGTACTAATAACCAAAGCCTTTTTAGATTATATGAAGCTGAAGACAGTCGGTGAAATACAGTGATGTTATTTTATTTCGCAAACTTCATCTTTATTGCTGTATTCAGATTATTTAATTAATCAATCAAATAGGAAACAAATTATTCTAAAAGCATTGCTATAGAACATGAATCTAGATGCACTCCGAGTAGACTGCTGATAGTGTACCTAACGGTGACATTTAGTGGGGTGGCTCTGCATTTCTTACTGCACACCGATCACCTTGAAGCTTCTGATGAGTGAAAACAAGTGCAAAATCTAAGTTTAAGAATTTATACCGATCTCTTTCCACAAGAAAATATCAAATACAGTGTACCGTATGGTCTGTTTGGAATACTACAGGTATGACCTACTTGATTTAGTCTACCCTTTACCTCTTGTTACACTATACTTCATCACCTGAAGAGTTACTGATAAGTGGCAATAATATTGAAATTAGTAAATGAATGCTAAGAATTAAGGATAGTTGGGTTATCTGATTTTTTTTCTGAATTTTAAAGACTATCTACAAATAATGTTTAGTTGCTTTTGACATCAAATGACCAGAAGTATTACTGATAAAATTTGCAGTTTGTATACACCTTATTATGCTCTGTATGAAAGAATAAAATATTCTGCTTGTGATGCGAGACAGCAGTGAATATATATGGCTTTTACACTATTGTTAGTATAACAATTAAGAATCCTTTTACATTATTGCTATTTCATGCCTTTTTAATTTCAGGTGACAGTTATACCAAAGCTGATTCAGTCGATGGTCATGAACTAACAGTAAACATTCAAGACACATCAGATAGCGTAAGTGTAGTTTAGGTATGATCAATAAATTTCTGTAGTATAACAAACACAATTTCCACAGCATACACAGCATGAAGGATAAAGATGTGAAAATTATTGCAAATATATAGACAGTAAAAAACAATTTACTTATAGCATAAAATACCTTTTTTGAGATCCTTTCAAACTATATTTCATTAAACAATGGTATTAAAACAACAAATGGGTGAATGAACTTTTAAAGCAAACAGATTTCTGTCACTCTTCACTGATTTGAAAATTGGTATGTAGGTCAGAAAAGTTGTTTTTTCTTTTGAAGAAGAAACTCCATTGGAAGAAGAGATTAAAAAGCCCATATGCTTCTGCTTTTAACTGCTAAACATTTTCATCGAGAATATATAAAACATGTGACAAAATAGGAGTGAAATGATTATTTTGAAAGGATATGAGATGAGATTTAGGCATTTTGAAGTTTTGTGAATTCAGAGAGTATTCCAGTTGTAACTATCCAGCATACGTATTGAAAACATGGTAAAGTGGTAAGTAGGATAATTAGTATTCCTGTGGTTATACTTATGCTTTAGTACTTTTAAATGTTTCACTAAATGGTATTAGTGTAAAGCTATATGTTTCGAATTTATTCTAAATTTGGCTCCGTAAATTGTGTCTTGATGACCCTGCATATTTCTGATTAATTCACTTAGTGCCAGTGGCTGTAGTTATATTTTTTACATAATGTGTAAAATGAGGGATAATAATGGAATTAGACAGTCAGGGTCAAGTATTATTCAATGAATTACCATAATAGAAAGATATTTGAAGTTAAGAATGGACATTCATCACCGTAAGTGTAGTGAAAGTAGCAGTCCATGCTGGCTACACATAACAGTGATTTCTGATGAACAGATCAGTTGCTAGTGTAAATAAATGCTTTAAACTACCAAGCATATCACTTCTTTTCTACCACAAACACACCGTGTTTTGTAAGTTCTGGCATCAAATATGGATTCGATACTTGTTCTTTGCGGTCTGATAATCTCTGACACATGATATACATACGGCTATTTGAATAAATTGTCATCTGAAGCAACAACAGCCAGTTGTATCTGGTAAGGATGCCCACTATTGCTTATTCCTGTTAGACTCTGTTATATAAATCCTAATGGACATAACCCTAATTACATCTGATTTTACAGGGATCAATTCACTTTCAGGAGAGTACTTAGTTTATTTGGAATATGCACACATCATCGTCTATTTAGGAGAGGACGCTGATAAAATAAAGTCAGTGAATATGCTTTGTTAACTGTAGAATAATATTTGAGGACTGGTGTGCAGCTTCTTTTAGTTTAAAGATAGGACGAGAGTTGAAAGCGTGCGCGAACAACTTCAGTTACTTCAGTAGTCAACCAGCCTAGGATGGTTGATTGCTGATGAATTTTCAGATTAGATACAAAACGCTCGTTCTGCATTTGCAAAAATTCACTATCACTGGTGCCGGGGAAATATTTGATTACCTATTAAAGGACTAATATGGTGCTCTGCTGTCTGTTTTGTCTTTTTATATGGTTCTGAAATATGGCCTTTTAAGCATGAAATATGAGGAGACGACACATTTTTGATCTCAGGTTTTTTGGTTTCACTATTTGCGTGTAGTGGACGTGCCATGCCAGCCATGTTGAGGTTAGCTAAAGGTAATAAGCAACGATGATGTTGTAAACCTATGAAGACTGAGGTGGCTTCGAAATGTGTTGTTGGTGCCGAAAAACCACAAGCCATAATATGTAATGTAAGCCGAAGTTATATTATATTTGGTGTAGGTTATTGCTGGTTGGACTAAGACGTGACATAAGCTTATACAGTTGTTAACTGAACCATGGCTGTAGAAGTGGACTGTCAGACTAGGGTCACTTAGACTTTAAGAACCAATGGTTTGATACACTTAGAGACGACTGAAAATCGGCCATAGTGGCGCAGAAGTATTCACTCTTTATCATCTTTAAGGTCTTGAAAACTTCATTAACCGTTATCTGTTTATTCGCTCTCTTCAAACACACGGTTTTACGCCTTAGGACAACTTTTGCCATCAACTTCTGTCTTATATGCTTTTGTGAAGTTTTGTAATTTGGTCCGATATGGGTGTTCACTACGTTTTACGTTGATCTATCTGTATACTCTTGTCTATGTACAAGAAGTAGTCTGGCATATTTTTGAATTGTACTTCAGTTGATAATAGATCTATGTTTATACCAAAATCATCTTCGCTATTGAAAGATAAATGTTTCAGACAAAGGCCTGTAATGTCCTGTTGACGGTTTCCCATGACCAAACTGATTGGCCGTTATTTGCATATGAGTCACTGAGTGGTTACCTTGATATTGCTAGTAGTTTCAAAAGTCTTTGGAGTACAACAACTTCTGACTCATGGGCAACTAAAAGGACGAAATCCACGTCGAGGATTTCATTTCTAGCCACTTTCTGTCATTCGTAGCACTGAAGTTTTTTGTTTGAGTATGAAACATACGGAAAGTGAAAATTACTAGTTTGCATTTGTTTTGCTGAAGTGATGAAGATTGTTATGATGGGGAGTGGTTAAAAATGGTCGACAGTGAAAGTCATTAACCGCTGAGGAATGCATGTGTATGTGTATGAACATCTGTTAACGCAGCATTGAGTCCTAAATTATTTAAACTGTGGAGTTTTCAGATGAATAGAGTTCGTTATCAATATTTTGAGTGGCTTCATTGTATCAGGGTATTTAATAAGATGACATGTAATCTATGGTTTCAGAAATCCTGATATAATCTCAACGGATCCAGCGAAGTCAAGAGAAAACCAGATGTCGTGATTTTGTTTTTGCTCTGTGCACATGAATTAAGGGAAGTGTTTTTGACTTCATAAGAGCACTGGGGATACATTAAGGAAGTTTCGTACTACTGTGGTTAAAAATCTGTAATCTCATAGTTTGTTCAAGCGAACACTGGCTAAATGATCTTGATATACAGCTAATTATAGCATTCATCAACTAGCTGGATTTTATTATTCATACCAATGTAATTTTGTTTGAACTGAGAGTATGTACATGGTGGGAAATACCTTCACTCCCCGGATATAGACTATATGATCTAAAAATTGGTTTCAAGCAGTAACACAGCGTAAAGGATGCATTATTACTTTATTCAGGAATGGAGGGAAAAAGCTAGTTTTGAATAACAATCCTTCTTTTTTCATACATGCAGGATGAAATCGACCTTGACGATATAATTAAGTGGTCCCAAGCAATTATAATATTATTTTCAATGACAAGTCGTCGCAGTTTCTATCGTGCTCAAGAATTAGTTGAAGCAGTTCACCTGCAATCTGAAATAACCGACAGAAAACCGAAATTGTCTGGATCACAGCTCTGCAAACCAAGTGCATCACCACAGTTTGCATCACAATTAACTGGTTCTTTTGTTAATATCTCGTCAATCAATAACGCACCTACAAGTATACAAAATACTCTTATGCAGTCAGGTTCTCTTAGACGTTCAGCTTTGTTTACAATTAATACAGCTAAACCGCCTGCACTACTATTGGTGGCTAATAAATCAGATTTAGAACGATTTCGGTAAGTATCTGATTGTGAATTAACCTTTAAATCATTTTGTTGATAAGGTTTTAATAAGAAAAGACTAATTTAGCAAACTGACTGGTAATCCAAAAGAATTCAAATTCTCATTAAAATGTTTTGACTCATTATGAGGTTCGTATTGGAAGATAATACTTGAAAATCTACACCTGGTCATTCTTCACACAAAAACCAACTGTTAAGTAGCATCATAGAAAGAGGGATTTACGATGAATGCAATTTCTCAATGAATTCTCTTGCAGTGTTGCCACTAACTGCTACTTTCATAAGTAACATTGGAGACAGCAGAGAGAAATCAGTTATGAAGTCTTTGATGAGAGGAATTTGAGATCTGGGCATTTAAATAATCGGTAGATTAGTCAATCGAAGGCTTGCTTATGCAGGTCCTATGCCATTATCGCGCACAAATAATTAAATTAAAGTTTGAATCTTCAAGAACAATGAAGCATGTTTTGTGGACGTATAAGATTAAGAGACAGAGAAATTTAAAAATGTCCTAAAAAAGAGACGATGTCATTATCGTCTTTTTGAAAAAAACACTGCATTCTGTTTGATAGATTACAATGTAGTTAGGATATCTCTTCAGAGGTCTTAGTAAGCCGAACGCGATAGTTTTCAACAACATTTCCTACTATAGATTTTGGGAAAATTAATAAAGTAGCAGTGTTCTACATTCAAAAGTCAGTGTCGAAGTACAAGTAGCTACTAATCGTTGCATAAATTTTCATTTTCTGACACCTGAGATATTGACTACTGAGAATACTACACGTAAATTGTATCCAGAAATAATCCTACTGAAATCTAACCCCTAGACTGTCATTTTATAATTTTGATGAAATATTATTGTTTATATCGGGCCAACCAAGTAGGGAGTTGGGTCACATGCTAACCGATGAAATTGAGTGATAGACACGCTTTATGAAAGAATGAACGAATTTAGTTGAATTGCAGTATGTCAGGCACGAAATCCGATGGTTAAGACCTCATTCGTCTAAAGAGTTGAATGTTCATTGTCCATGACAAGAAGGAATAACTTGTAGAGTTCTTTAAGGTTTTTAATGTCTTCTAGTTCTTACAAATCTGTTATGAATACAAGTTAGAAAAGTAACCACAATGGAAGTAAAGTTGGGTTTCAGCAAGTTTTGAACAAAGGGCCTTTTCCCTACCAGTCTCAAACTATAATGAGTGGTCGACATGACCCAATTCCTTAGGTTTTTCGAATCATTAAGTGCATATCTCACTTTTTACGCAAGTGAGAAAGATGAAGTCGATCATTTCGATCCAGTATAGCAACGGAAATTTACAAGTATCAATAAACAAAAACTCAAACTGTTTGGAAGTGGGATGTACATGAAATACAAAGGGGAACAACTGAGTTATTGTTGATGAGGACTTTTCAAATAATCTTGATAATTCTTTACACTATACTTAAACAGACTGGTTTCATGTTCTGTTTGTGTATTTTTCTCATCTAATCTAGTGTTATTCATGCAGTTTGTCAGTCCTATAACAACCACCTTACTTTTACTTACAACTCTGTTCCACATTTATGCTTTATAATATTTTTTTGACATACTGGAATTAATTATGCGCCGTGTTATATTAACGTTTCTGAAGCATAGATGGATATTTATTTACTACTCTGACTTATCTTTCAAGGTTAGATTTTTTAACCCTTAACATAAAACTAAATTCTCATGAGATACCTGTATATTAAACTCTTTCACATACGCTAGTTACTTTGAGCAGTTACTGGATGTCAAGATGCAATGGTTTAGATTCGAAATTTGAGTGAATTTAAAGTCCGATATATTTTTGTTCATAAAAAAGTTAAAGTTCACATTCTGAATACATATTTACACAAACAAAATATATTTTACGATAAAAGAAAGTATAATTTTGAAGTAATAATTTTAAGATAGATAGAGATTGGCACGTGCATATGTGAAACAGTTTGGCATGAGGATATTGAATAACTGCTTTGCCAACTGTACGAGTCTCGCTTACAAATTATTACTGCAGTTTAAAACACTAAATGAATATGCCTAGATTCTTTCTATTTTAGGATAAAATGATTCTATGAAATTCGTTATTGTTTATTCACTTTTATATGAGTAAGTTATCATTCAAAACGTTTGTTGAGACTACTTACAAATTCTATGGTGTCGTGCAAAACTAGAATCTTTAATCCCACACTAGCCACAAAAAACTGTAGGTAGATCACACTTCCTTGCTCTACAATTTAGAGTTCTGTTTTATTGAAAAAATTCAGAACCTTACATTCAGAAATTCGTCGTTTTAAACTGCATGTCTAGAGAAAACTTGAATGTGTATATACTTGACAAAGCTTCTTGACTATAGCTTCCTTGAGTTAAAGATGAACAGTTTAGTCATAGAAATAGGAAAATAGACGCGCAGTTTCTTCTCAGTGTTAAGAGAATGCTTGGTGTTACGCACCTTAAGCTGAGTGAAGTAGCAGATTGTGCCCATAATATTTCAAATGTAAGGCCTTCGAGATACGATACGATTTTTGATAAACACTCGTGTTACATAACCATGCTTCATCTGTTTAGTGGACCAACTACTTTTGTCTGCTACCAACGTTATTAAGTTTTTCTGTAGTTTATTTTCAGAATGAGAGTTGTTTCACGGACCACATACCATGAAAACATCTGATAATAACTGCTGAAATATTAGTGAGAACCAATTTCATATCGTGTGAAAAATATTTGACTATCTGGCTACCATGATTTTCACGTTTGCAAGTGTATTAACTGAAAATATAGTTTAAAAAAGAGAGAAATAAAATGTTAGATGAAACAGTTAACAAACAGCTAAATTACAGCAAACAATGATTTAGTGTTAAACACCTAAATTCAAAGTCTATCAGCATAAAAACTAAGTATTTTCGACAAAGTCGGAGAAGTAAATATTTTCATTTGGACTATCTGAGATATCCGTGGTTTGGGGAATTTCGCTTTGATACTGGGTGATGATTGGAGGTCGCTAGTTCGAATCCTACTGACACCTTGATTTTTATTTCATCTTCAGTCATCATCCAGTAAGAAATCAGTATTTACTTATTAAGTGTGAGTACATGAAAGGCAAACTTAAAAATATTATTTGGAGTAAAACCTGATTGGTTAAGAGGGTGTTCACAGTTATTATGATGTTTATAAGTGATTTGCCTTTATTTAAACTTTCTTGATTTGTTTGCCATAGGATTTATATAATTCTTTCGGCCAATTTTATTCACAAAATTCAAATTAATTCTTTTTGTTATGAGTAATCAACAAAAAAAATCCGTAACACATGATTTTGTGTACATGAAACTCATCGACCAAATGTTTTTGCATCCCTTTAACCAACTAGGCAACCTATATGCAATTAAAGATAAGCTGATCTAGCATTTTATTCATTGAAGTGAAAATGATTCTGAGGTAGTACTAAAGGTTAGGGGTTAGAGATTCATAGCTTTACACCTTTTTTAGTATTTGTAATTAACTCTTCTTGCTGCATCAAAGCAAACTGAAAAAACGACATATCTAAACCGATATATGGATGTTTGGATTTATTAGTATATTTATGTATACATCTGGATGACTTCATTCAAGTTATTACATATTTTCTTTATTTTTACAACTTGACTAGTTTGGTGCAAAAAGCAGAGGCTGAAGAATTCGCTAAATCCCATGGCATCCCATATTTTGAGATAACTGTTACCGAGACATATAAGGAGGTGCAGTCAGTTTTTCATGCTGCTGCTCGTCTGTGTCTTCAGTCCAAAGGTCTGAAACTACGTCAAGTTAATGGACAGCCTACATCAGGTGGCAGAGGTATCCTTCCAAGTGGTAATCCTCCCAGTGTACTGACGAGTTTAGCTGTTTCTCCAAGTCTGTTGCTACAGAAAAAATCAACCTCAAGTGTTCCAGCAAACCCTGAAGCTACAGCAGGCTTAGAAACTGAATCGAACTCAGGACCAGGAGGACCTGCTTCACTTATTTCAAATTTAAGGTTAAGAGCGACCAGTCCAACGTCAGCACAATGTATGACAAAACCACCAAGCTCTGCATGGTACCCTACTCCTCAAACCACTTCAGCTTCAAAACAACTGCAGGCAACTCAGCCTCCACCATCTCAAAAACAATTAAACACTCTAACTTCGGTGGCAGCTCAGCCTGCATATAACACATCACCATCTAATATATTATCACGTAAGACACAGAACCTAACCAACAAGTCGATTCAACCACAATCCGAACAACGACCATCATCATCTGGTCTACTCAGTAATGTCAATCAATCAGCAAGAACACCTGCAGCGCAGCCTAGTCGACAACCAGCTCCGCCACCGGTTTCCCAGCCAAAAAAGAATTCAATAGGTTTTAAGTTTTTCTCTAAGAGAAAATAATTTTGGCTTCAATGCCGTCATTGAAAGGCTCCAGCTGATGTTTCCTTTAAACCATTCATGCATATTTTCATATCATTCTGTTAGTAACTGTAAAAATCTTAGGATAAAATGTTTTTCTCTGGAAATTGTAAGAATGAGTGTATTAATGTTACCGAAAGAAGTTTATATGACTGTACTTTTTACCATTGTTGAAGTTCGCAACACAATATTATCGTTTAGCGGCACTGACGATATGTTTACCAAGCGGAAATTATTTTATTAAAATCAGAGTTAATGTTAAGCCTTCTTTTCAATCAGTTTTGAACTGTACAGAATATAACTATACTAACGTTAACTTCACAAGTTTGAGTGTAAATAAGTAGCATTAATTACAGATTATCATAAATCATTATTCAATTTGAAGGTTTGTGGGGATTTATTTATTGATTTAAGGTTGGTATTCATCGTGAACCGACCAACCTGAAAACTATCATTTGTTTTTATGTGTTCTGAAATAACAATTATAAAATATAGTAATAGTTAATGAATGAAATGCATTAAACTGACCCGGGTCGTTTCTATGTTCACAATTCAGATATCAAGAGGTAATTTGCATATCGATGTATGTTTCTAGGGCCTTTCAAAAATACTAAGCGCCAAGCATTTGAATTTACTGACTCAACGTATATTCAGAATGGTTCCAGTGTAAATTGTCAATGCTATCCATATTTGCGATACTCAAACAAGTACTGTAATCTTACACCTGTATTGGGCTAGACAAGAAACGGATATTTGAATGAATATTTAATTTAATATAATTTGCTGGTTGCATTGGTTGTCAGACCAGCATATGATAAAATACTTTTCGAACTCCCTACTAGATGTGGCCCTCATGGAGGACTGTCTCTCACTGTTCTTTGTTTACGTAGTTATTCCAAAGAAAGTATCAGTCACACTTCAAAAATAAAGAAACATCCAGGCAGTAAACAGAAATGATAACTTCTATTTTATATTTTTACACTCCTAGGATAAGTCGAATCTGTCTAGTAATCCTGTATACAGGAATAAGACTAAGCTAGAAAACATTCACTACCTAAATCAGAGGGAATATACAAAGAATATTGTGTAGGAGTTATAAGTCTTTACAAATGCCGTCAAGATCGAATTCACTGTAGTCAGTTTCCGTTCTTTACGTATAGATTATCGGTTAGTTGAGAAATGAATAATCGAAGGTATCTGAATGAATGATCAGATGGTGAACGACGTAACTATCAAGTCCTAATTTTTGCTTGTAGTTGATTGATCAAATTTACTGCACTAAACTGATGAAATTTGGGTAACACTAAGGAAGTGACAAACAAACTGGTTATCATGAAGTGAACAATTTATGAGCACAGTCCAGTTTTGGTTAGGTTCATTTGAAGTTCAAGTATTTTTTGACTTTAGAAGTGGCTGATCCAAATTTGAAATATGAAAGAAACATGAGAATCTTCGAAGTTTTACACATGCAGTACCGATAGGGACAAAAGATAGATCCATATTATGCTACACAGTGACACACGTCTGAAGTAAATAGTCCAATGTATCAAGTGAGCCTAGTAAGAAGTATTTCGTAAATCATGAATGTAATGAATTGTATGCGATTACAAAGTTCCTCCGAGAATTCAAACACAAAACATTTGGACGTATTTTCGGTAACCTAAAACCGAATGTCCAGCAACGCATAATACGTTATAATATATTTATAAATAGCAATAAGGTTTAATAAAGTTATATACCTCGGATATTGAAGTTTCTATCTATGCATCACAGGATCAAAGGCACTTTCCAACCAACAAGTCAAAATACAAAATAAACAGCGGAATGGTGTGTCAAATTTTAACTTCGACTGAGAATGAAAGGCTACAAAACTCAGGAGAGACAGAAAACATTTAGATGATTTAAAGTTTACCGGACCAACTGACGCAAGTGAAGTAAACTTATGAGTATGAGACAAACTGAGGAAGCGGCAACTAAAGTCTTACGCTGAAATCTTAACAAGCTAAACACAAATATATTGTAGTAAAACATGCAAAATGGTGCGTAAAAGAAACAGCGCATTATCCACGCTAAAACTACTCATTATTTGTAAGTAGAATAAAGGTAAAAAAGTGCACAAGCGAATCCACAGGATGGTGAATTTCAAAGTCATGGGCTATACCACTTTATTGTAAGTTTGTTACTTACGTAATAGCCATTGTGTTCAGTGTGATGAAATTCACCTTTAGCATGTAACTTCAGTGACACTTTAGTTACTACCTTTGTAATCTATTAGTTTCGCTACATTGATTTTCTTACCACATGGACTGTGCTTAGAAAATGTGCTTTACATCATGATTAAAAGTGTCATACCATGAAATTAGATTGTTTGACAGCTCTAGAATATCTAGACGCGGTTTAGGAAGAAAACCAACTTCATAAAATCCCAGGCGTAGTATCGAGGCTTTCCAGTGATACTATGCTTTAACAGGATTAACGCAAGAGTTTGTGGTTCCATAGAAGTTCACTGCTTATTTTCTACAAAAGGAGATTTTGATCCGATGAAGTTCATTTAATTTTTACTTCTAAGCAACAACTTACTATCTGGTATTCATTTGTTGAGTGCTAATCCAGTGAATGAAGCAAGTGAAGGTAACTCATCCAATTGCTAAGCTACTTTCAGTTTCATTTAGTGGAAGGCCTAATGTTTGAAGAGGGTTAGAATTAAGCATTTGGGGATAGGAATTTACGTCTGCAAGATTGTTAGTCATTCCGACCAATTTGGTTTGAACTATACTCTCAAAACTTTGTTTCTGTGACTTAATTTGTCTTGTTTAAAACAGACTCACCATAAGCTCAGATAATTCACAAGCCTGTGGTTAAATAGAAGAAAGCAAACCCAGTATGCTACTTCATTCTGCGCTATTTCACTATACTTAAAAGACGTTTCAGACAATTTAGTAAATTCAAGGGACATTTGTAGTTTAAAAGTTTATATATATATATATATATATATATATATATATATATATATATATATATATATAACGTTCATTTTCCGTATTTGGAGTTTAACATGTTACTATTTCATTATGAAACGTTTTGTAACTACATCGTTACATATGGGACGAAAATATTTCGGTGAAACAAAAGGTTAGTGAAACTCGTTAATCCATCTGAGACTATTTCTTTGCTAGTTTATCAGCAGATTTACCAGTGGAACAATTGAACTGATATTAGATTCAGTGGAATAGACATGGCCAATGCAGAGTTAAGGGACTTATCAGTTAACACTTCATTAGCTGAGAACTGATCGTGCAACTCTTTTTGTCCTCCTGTAAGTCGCATTACCAATGTTAATACCTTCTAAGAAGCTTGGAAAACAGCTGTATAACAGTTATAAGGTGATACAAATTTCAGTATATTTCATGTCTGGAGAAAAATGAATACCAAAATACACCATTTCACTTCAGAGAAGGAAGCAATTTCTTTTATTGATGATTAGCACTTATATCATTCCTTCCATCGTTTTGAAAACTGAAGAGTGTCAAGTGTAAATGCTTTAGATCCGCAGCGTTACGTAATAGTCACTTTCCATAAAAATACATATGGTTGTAAAACCGTTACCTGAAACTGGCATCCTTAATTTTTTTCAGTAAAAAATACTTTGAATTCACTATTCGACAGTAGGTTATGGTAGATGAAAAGACAAAACTAGAATCAAAATTCTTAGCAAACATTACCTCAAATTTGTCATGTCTCAGATTTATTTTTCTAAGCCCTGTTACCAACTCGAAATGCACTAATTTTACTGACTGATTGTGGATGATTGAATCAAAACGTTTCGTAGACTTGAATCTGGGGTTTGTATTTGTTTGTCAGGTTGAGGTATGTGCAACTTCAAAGGATACTGATGTCCTAGCCTGGGTCACCCAATGCTGATGTTTTTCTGATGACTACCAATAAGAATTAAACCTCGGTTCAATTCTTCTTGTTTAATAGCTAAAGCGATCTGACAGCAGTCAAAGTGAAGGTTGATGCTCAGTTTTCAAACTTAGTGACAACACTGGAAAACTATAAATTGAATTCTGTCAGCACTTGAGACTATAGAGATTGAGATTTATTACCCTTCAAAACTAAGTTTATATACACTTACACAGAAATCTGTGACCCTAGAGCTGACACATTTAGAGACAGAACTGTATTTATAAGATGGAGCCTGATACTCATCAAGCAAAGAAATACCAATAACAGATACACTATTTGAAAAAGCACTTGTTTCTGAAGTGTTAGACTTCTAAAAACTGTTACCAGTTTATGAAAGTCCAATTGAAAAATAAAAAACGTTCATAATGCAGTAAGATTTAGGAGATTTGTGGGAAATGTAATATATATAAGGAAATAAATTTTAGAAATTGTGATCAAACATTTAGTGAACAAGGTACTGTATCTTAAGGTGAAAAAATGTTACCGATATAACAATCAGTGGAGTTGTATTGTACTTTTAAGGCGAAACAATGAATACCGTAATGTGAAAATGACGTTTTAAAACTAATTGGCGAAAACGATTGCACTAAATCTTTTTGTAAAGATCATTAACTTCTTTAGTAGATTTTATAGATGAAACAGAAAACAACTAACTTTAAAGTAATTGGGATAGTGTGAATAGTTAAAACTAAGTTCGCAAAATTGATTTCGTATCTGAATATTTGTGCTATAGTTTCGGGTATACTTGTAGCATCCCATAACGGCATAATTCTGAGACAGTAATGAGAAGTCAAAGCTCATGATGGGAATAATAAGTGTGTAGCGTTTCCAAGCTTGGACATTTCATCACCAAACCAGTGGACTTCGTCAGCACTTACTTCATCAAGAAGTTAGACACTTTCAAGTCTCATGAAGATACAGATGGGATATTCGTCAAACTTGATTGTCACTGATTTGTTGAGGGGGGGGGTAATTTTCACTGTTTTTATCATAGATTGCCTTTATAACTATTGTAACAATTTGACCTATGTTGTCGGCCAAATGTCTGATCACTGGTTTGCTCGATAGACCTCCATTTTACTGATCCCGCCTTCGTAGTCAGTTTATTTGGCCAGTATCAACATGTCTGTTGATTGCCATTTGATTGGAGTAACATGCTTCCTAGCATTTGTTTAAGGTTTCAAGCTTGCGTATTGCAGCATTTCTAAGTCATCACAACCGTTTATGGCTGTGCTCATCTATGTGTATCTATATATCGTTTGACTGTTAGTTGATGGTCATAAATTCTTTGAGCTGTTAGACTGCTGAATTAACGAGCATAGCAATGTTGGCGATCTCAACTGATTTTGTCGATTATATTCCTTCTGTCTTCTTTGGGTAATGAGTCCTTCAGGTTACCTTGCATGTTCTGCAGAGATTTTGTTAGTTTGCATGCTACAAGGGTACGGGGTAACCAGTTGACAGTTTCTAGGATATATATGGTGTATGGTAAAGTGGTTCGCTTTTTAGGATGAGGTAAATTTCTTTAAAACTTTGCCGAGGAGATTTCCTTCTAATTTCTGTAGT